ACATTAAAAGGTTGTAGGTTCAGGTCAGGGCACATACCTAGTTTGTGGGTTTGATCCCCAGTTAGGGCATGTATGGGAGGCAGCCTACCAATATCTCCCTCTCTTCCTTCCTTTCTCTCTCTAAAATCAATAAACATCCTCAAGTGAGGATATAAAATAAATATAAAAAATAAAAATAAAATTAAATTAAATTAAAAAGATATAGGTTCCCATGATCAAAATTATTGAAGTTCAAAATGGCAATAATAGAGCATTGAACCAAATGCAGGCCCTTCTGAGTACAGTGCTCTGTGTAACTGCATGGGTTGCACACTCATGAAGTTGTCCCTGTCAACAGGTGTCTGCCATCCTAGGAAGGCCACGATTCTTGCCATCCAGTTTCCAAGTCTTCTGACATGTTCCCTTACCTGGAATGCCCTTTCACCAACACCCAGTTTCTGCCCACATTAAGCCTTAGCCTTTCCCCAGACCCACCTGTGAAGAGGCATCAAGTTGAGAATTGGTCTTTACATATCTCTGATCACTCTTCTCCTATGGCCTTTAGTAGTCCTGACCATCTACACACATTAATTTAGTCCTTAATTAATACTTCCCTGTGTTATTTCCTTTTTTTAAAGGAAACTGTGTGAGGTAATTTTTTTAAGATTTTATAGATTTATTTCTAGAAGGAGAAGGGAGGGAGAAAGAGAAGGAGAGAAACATCAATGTGTGGTTGCCTCCCATGTGGCCCCCACTAGGGACCTGGCCCACAACCCAGGCATGCGTCCTAGACTGGGAATTGAACTGGTGACCACTTGATTTGTAGGCCGGGACTCAACCACTGAGCCACACCAGCCAGGGCCCCTATGTTATTTTCTTACTGTTTTATTCATTTCATTCACCATCTATTGCAGGTCAACTATTTACCATGACTGTGCTAGGTACTAGGCATAAAAAGTCCCAATATAGCAGAGACCTTGTTTGACTTATTCATCCCTCTATCTCCAGAGTCTCACATGGTGACTGGCTCATGGCAGACACAATAAATATTTGTTGAGTAAGCATTGAATAGAATTTTCTATCATATGTTGAGCATCTAGAGACCAGGAACTGTTTTCGTATGTCTGTTGATTGAGAACACTCTCTGTGCCACACATTGTTCCAGACATGAAAACATTGTTCTAGACAACTTCCTTTGTTTTTATTATATTATATCTAATATAATATATTATATTGTTTTTATTTTATTATATTAGCACATTATCTTTATTATAATTCGCCCAATAATTCTATGAAATAGGTACCATTATTATCCCCATTTTACAGATGAGGAAACAAAGTCTCAAAAAGGTTGAATAATAGGCCCAAAGTCTAACAGTTATTGTGGTTTGAGCCCAGGGGACCAGACTCTAGACTGATCTTTTGACTACATTGCTAGGCTGCCTCCAACCAGTACTTTTTGATTTGCTTGAAATAGAGATCAAGGAAGAGCAGTGTGGTGGCTCAAAATACATCCATAAATATACATCAGGTAGAGGTTGTGCCTTATAAAAGCAACCCATTGTTATACAATTTCTTGATCAACACCAGATATAATAGGTGCATGGTTCTATGATACCATAGAACATATACTATGGTATCATTTATTTCACTGAAACCACCCAATAATAAAATGCTAAATAAAGGATATGGCTCACTAGGCCACCTTAGGAGACCTGCAGGAAGAGAACAGACCTGGAAGTTTCTAAATGTTGGTTACTTTACCAGACAGAAAATAAGCAATAAACTTTTTAGGCTGGAGGTTCATTTGTGGAACTCAGTAATACCTGTTGATATTAAAAAGCTTGCCAAGGGATTAGCAGAGGAAAAGGATTGAAATTTTAAAAAAATAGGAGAGAGGAAAATGGGAAGGGGTGAATCTAATGGGATGAGGAGTGGTGGAAGCCACTAAGAGCTGCCTTGGCTGCGGTGCTTCTGCTGTGGAAGGGTTTTTAGTCCTGTAGGGATCAGTGAAATGGAGATAGCAAGTCACCATTTGTCGTACTCTGATTTGGGTTCCACATCAAGTAAATGGACTAGCACATAGCTCCCTGCCTTTAGAAGAAAGCACAAGGCCCAGGTTGATGCTATTTATTGGGTGTGGTAATGGGGGATTTATGCCACTCTAGTGATGCATGATAAGATGCAGGGGGTAAAAACAGCTATTAACACTGATTAACTGAAAAGTTGACCATCAGCACACACATCCATTGTTTCCACCAGCACTCTTTCTTTAGTCATGGGCTTTGTCTGGCTGGCTTCACAAGAGACAAATGCCATTACTGGAGACCAAATAACCTTATTTGGGCAGTGGTCAGATAATAGAGACGCTCCAGGTATTAGCCTGACTGCATTAGTTTGATTTGTACTACTGTTCACCTTGTCCTGGGCATTAATGGAGACAAAGGCTTGGAATTACAGGAGAGATAAGCTGTGGATTAGAGTCTGTGTATTTTGAGGGGAAGATAATTGTACCTTGCATTTTCATTTCCATTGTCATCACATTTGATTTTTCCTCGAAGTCCAGTTTTCTCTCCTGAATATACACATATCCTTTCCAAATTACTATCAATCAAAACTGATAAAAAAAGTTTCTGATTCATTATTTCTTTTAACAAGATAAGCCCTTATCTTTTAGGTTTTCGGAAATGATTTTAGGGGAAATACACAATTGATTTTGTATATTATCTTGCTTCTTACATATTATAGACTAAATTCACAATATTTAATGGTAGTGTTATTAATATGAAAATATAAAAGGATGTGTGATCACACTTAGTTACTTTAACATTATAAATTCCAGGATTTAAATTTTTTCTGATTTTCTATTTCAGTTATAAAGGCATCATTTTTATTATAAATGATTCATTATGAATATATAACTTCAGCTATAAATACAACTCATTTCAATTATAAACAAAATTGAAGTTTAGAACCACACAAATCAGTTATATTAAATTGCACTGGGAAAAACTGAGATAATGATATCCTAGAAATACTATGTTTCTTCCCTCACCAGACATTTTATAGGTGTGATCAGTTTTTATAATTAAAAAAATTAAAGTGCATTACTAGTCATTGAGGAATGTATATGATGCTGTGTAATTTTTTACTAATGTCTGTAATTTTATACAGAATCCTCACCATCCTCAGAGATTTGGGGATTAGGTTTAACTTTAGATAAATTCTAGATAAACAATGACTATTCTTTGAAAAATCTCCATTTGTGAAAAGTACTATTTCAAAAGTATTTATTTATTAATATTAACATTGTGGAATAGTTTGTTATGTACAGGACTTGAAATCTTTACCAAACTAAGCAAACATCAAGAAAGACAGAGCTATATATCTGACATGGCAAGATGTCAGAAAGATGGACAGAATACCAAGTGTGATATTTTTAAAAATAACAGCAAAAATAAATATGTATGCATGTGTGTACCTATGTATACATATATGTGTGTACATATATGTGTGTGCTCTTTTACACCAAAAGATCTACAAAATGTTTAATGATGGTTATCTGTGAAAGATGAGATTTGAGGAAGATTTCACTCTGTTTTTATATTGCTTGCATTTTTTGCAGTATGTAAATATGGCATTTGGGATTAAAGTAAAAGGCTGTTTGAAAAAGTTACACATCATGTGACCCTTTTCCCTCCAACCCACTCCTCATGACCTCTGGTCCTCCAACTTAGTATAATTTCACCAGAACCTAATAAAGAGGAAAGAAAACTCCTGGTGCTTCAAATTTCATATTAATGAAAGCAGCTCTTTATATTGGAAAAGTGGCCCAGTATGACAGCAGAGTGTTCCTTGGAAAACATTTAATGCCTCTGGTAGGTCTTCCATTTACTGCCCTTGGGCCCCTTCTTTCCTCCTCCCCCCTCTCCATCTCACCAATAGTGAAACAGCTTGTTGCTGACCAGTTTTTAGGACACAGCTTTCTGCCACCATACGTGCTCTCAGTAAATGATTTTAAAAAGCTTCAAAATCGGAGTCATCCTACTTTTCCTCGGAGATAATATGCAAACTCCCTCTAGGCTTTCTCATGCAATAAGAAAAAAGGAAAGAAAAAAAATCAGGAAGAACCCTCTACTCTGGTTAGCTCTGGAAGGGTAAAGGAAAGAAGAATAGGAAATAAAGAAAAAGGAAGCAAGGAAGAATTCAATTCAAATGGGAAAAGCTGAAATAGGCTTTCAGGAGACAAAGTCAGAGCTCTCAAGCTAACATTTCAAAAAGAACACCCACTTTGGCCTTCCATGAATTAACTGGAAAACAAATACCCAGATTTCCAGTGGTAGGACTCCTTTCTTGTGATGCTACTTAATCCTATTTGTGTCTTTAATTGACAGGTACAATGGGAAATGCAAAGAAAATACATAGTTTTTGTCCCAGAAAGTTCCTTGATTATATCCAGCAACTATGTCAGAGTACATACCCAAGGCAGGTCAGTTATCTTACCTTCTCAGTCAACATATTACTTGTAACAAAATATATAGCTGATTGGAAGTCATTACACTAGAAATAGATATAAGCCAAATGATTATTGTCACTTTAATGAGTGAAATTAAAGTACAGCATTAAACAACCTAGAAAAATATTTTAAATTTGCATTTACTTGCAGCTCAATTCTTTTGTGCAATGTAGTACCAGTGGTATGAATATAACAACCAATAGTTTTATATTTCTACTTTGGTATAATGACTTCGCTTTAAAAAAAAAAGCTTAAACTGGAATTCTATAAGGATTTGTATTGATATATGGTGAAAAATTCTCACTGCTTTATGCCAGAAGTCAAGAGGAACTAAAGATTTATGCATAAATATTCTATAATATATTAAAGCAAAATCATGTTTCAAAATGCATTTGAAGGAAACTGACGGAAACAAATCACACCTCCTTGCCATTCTTCAGATTATTTTACTTGAAGTGGTTTGTAAACATAATCCAGTTTGTGGAGCCATTTAGTCATGAGCTTATTGATTTTAGCAAACTAGTTTATTAGATTAAATTTGCTCACTTAAAAAATAGCTGGCTTTTTCTGAAAATGTTTATTAAAATACATAGAAAAGGCCTTTTGTATTTAAAAGTGCCCAAGTATAATAGGTTACCCATGGTATAATAGTAATTATTTACATTATATTTTCAGAAAAATGACAATGTTCAGATTAAATGCAGAAAAGAAAACATCACACTTTTAAAACTTGATATTTCTATTGATTCTTCATGTTCTTCAATTGGAAGATAATTTCACGTTTAGTTTTCTATCTATTCCAAGAGATTTGTGTTGAAATTTTTTTTTGCCATTAGAAACTGTGATTCTCTGTGGGACCTCCTCAGTTTTGCACGTCGATTTTGGAACCAGATCTGAAGTTAAGGAGAAATAACATAGATCTCAGAGACATTATTTCATTATTCTTAACATTTCAATTGTCAGGCATAACTAAATTTGAAAATTACCTGAATTCTGTCTTCTTCTAGATTCAATTTTTGAGCTAAGTCTTCTCTGATATCAATGCCAGGATAGCAGTTTACTCTAAAGACATTTTCCAACACTTCAATCTAAGAATAAGGAAATAGTTATTTAAAATGTTGATTCTTGATATGTCATAAAAAATGGACTTGGACTACCCAGAAATTGTTAAAAATGATACACATCCTATTGTTTCATTAATAAGGCCTAAATTAAAATCCCAAGTGAATGGGCTTCTGCTCAACAGGGTGTTAGTTAAAGCCTCTGCAATATCGTTATTAGTTGAAAAAAAACTCCCACCTGGTTTTGAGTAAAAGCAGTTCTTGGTCTTCTGCCTCTATACCAACTCAACTCTCTTTTCAAAGACAGTCTTTCTGAGGCTGAAAAGTAATTTTCATATTTCAAAACTCTTTCTGCTGGCACTGGGTAATCCACAGTACAAGGGAGTAAGATCCCATTAGGAAGGCTCGGGACTGGTAGACACAGGTTAGTATCTTTCTCTAAAAACAGAAAAATAAACCCCATCTTAGATCTCCAATCCTGTATTCCACAAAGTTCTATTAAGAATTTCAGGAACTTGTCTTTAATTTTCCAAGTGGCATTTTTCTGGATTTCATAAGAGAAATGACCTCTCATCAACCAAAAAGCAAACAAAAATGAAGATCCTGCCTTGGTGATAGAGAACATTTTGGCCTCTGAATGTCATTTATATTTCAGTGAAAAAAAGACAATATCTGATGTGTCAAATAAACAGAGATCTTCTGAAGTAAATGCAGGTTCTTGGCATTTCCTGTGAGGGCACGCTATACCCACTTGGATTCAAGGCTGATACTCTTTCTATTTCCCATAGGACTCAGCTGGAGGCATTAAAAGTCTTAGATACCTCAGTAATATAATTAGATGAAACTGCAGTTTCTTTCTAACTCTAAGTAGTATAAAATTAAAGGCCAAATCAAACAGTGCAAAAGAAATAAAAGAGTTTAAAAAATTAAGCATACCTGAGGAGCTGCAGGTGTCTGCCCAGGGCCTGTGGGGTTTCATGGATGGAACGCAGTCTTTCTTCTGGTCCAATCCTAAAATGCTTTCAATTGAAAAGGAGCAGGGCGAGGGTTTGCTTTCCCCAAGATGAGCACCTTCCTGAAGGCTAGGAGACATCCTCATGGGGGCTGCACAGGTCGACTGCTCTGGCCTCTGTGCACCTCTTGTCTGGCTCTGCACCCACACGAACAGGGATGGGATCTTCCTGCAGTTCACCTTAGGGATCTGCTGACAAGGGGGCTGGATTTAGAACGTCACTAATTAAAAATCCTGTCTTAGAAAGTTTTAGCATGTCAATGAATACCCAGCCAGCAGCTTTAGGAGTTAATTGTTTATTTGTTTGCAAGTAATTAGCAACTAATGGCTACACCAGGGGGGCCACCTACAGGGACAAAAGTGTTATCTCTGCAAAGCAGAACACTGACTTAACTTTCTTGAAAGAAGTGAAGCACAAACTAGCACTTCTCTTTTATTTGAAATCATTAAAGTATAAAATCATGCTTTTTATTCTGAAGTTTATACTTTCATGGACTCCAGTTACCGAAACATACAGGCAAGATAGGAAAGCAGTCAAGTAATAAATAATCTAATTTAAGTGAATTTTCTTCCAAGGAAATTGGAAAAAGTAATAATCTCTTAATGCTATTACGATAATTCTGATGAAAATGCCTGTTTTTCATATGCATATATAATAGTAAATGCTGTCAATGAAAACAATAGTATTTGGAGTGCAGCATACTGGAAAAGGTTGGCAATGTTATTAACACTGAGTGTAATTGTTCCAAGTACTTGGATTAATACATAAGGAACAGTTGCACCAAGTATTTTAAATAATTAATTTTAAATAATTAATTAAGATAATTCCCTTCCTTCATTTTTTGTTTTAAATGAGAGGTACAAGTTTATATGAAGATTCATACTGCACCATCTCCAACCAATTTAAAAGCATTACTTCAACCTAAAGAGATTTTTTTTACCACAGTTATTTTAAAGACTATAGTGTACTGTATTTTTTAAAGAAAAATTCTCTAAGGCACTGAGGGTTTCCATGAAGACATTAGGTTTGTAAAAAATAATCAAGAACAGAATGTTTTAATTTTGTAATCCTAAGAAAACTTGAAATTAAAAGAGAAATACAGCCACTAATTGGAAAGATTTTGGAGTGGCCACTCTCAGCAAAAAGTATGATACTTTTAGTTCTTGTATTCTGCTGCAATACTTCTTCCAGTTCCTTCCTGATGAGAAATTTAAGTGGTGAGCTTTATCATGCTTTTAAACAGCTACTAGACTTTTCTTCGGAAAAGAAATCTCTGCTCATACAGGAAATAGCCTTTACAGGATGGAGCTCAACCTCATCAGATTTTGTCCTATCATGATGTCATAAATATTAAGCTAAATTCTTATGCAAGCTCTAGAGTGAACAAAAGATTCACACACAAAACATCAACAAGTGCACACAGGATGAGTATACAGATATACAAGTAAAGCCATGCTGAGAATGAATAAAGTAGTAAACATTTATACCTCATGGAGGTTTCTGTGCAAAAATGGGGGCGACCTTAATCTGGGAAGACTTGTAGGAAGACAGAATTTATGCCCTTCCCAGATTCCTCTCTCTCTTTTGAAACGTTTATTCATTCATCCATTCATTCATTCCAAAATTGGTTGAACACCTATTCCATACCAGAATAAACAGAATAGGATCCTTGCCCTCATAAAGCTCACTGTGGTGCTGGGTGGGGTGGAGGTGGAAAGACAGGCAATAAACAACAGTAAATAAATAAGTAAATTACTTCATACATTAATCAGTTCAAAGAACAAAAAAGGGAAACAGGCAAGCCAGGTAAACTGTATCATCAATGTACAAGTGGGAAGAGGCCTCACTGAGACCACAACCCCCCTGGAGTAGTGTCTCAGAGGTGCAAGTTGAAAAGATGCTATATCATATGCTGAACCAACTCCAGTCTTCAATTTTTTCTTTACCAATAAGAACATTCCAATATTTTTATTCATCTTGAGTTTTTATCTGGACTTGGTGAAAAGATAGGAAAGAATTTCTCTAAAAACTGGGGTAAATGTTTTCTCATGTATTCACTCAATAGATTTTTTAAAAATTTTTATTTATTTATTTTTAGAGACAGGAGAAGGGAGGGAGAAAGAGAGAGAGAGAAACATCAATGTGTGGTTGCCTCTTATGTGGCCCCCACTGGGGACCTGGCCTGTAACCCAGGCACGTGCCCTGACTGGGAGTTGAACCAACAACCCCCTGGTTTGCAGCCTGCACTCAATCCACTGAGCCACACCAACCAGGGCTCACTCAATAGATTTTTATAGAGTATTTAATATGTGCCAGGCACCATTCCAGGCAGTTGAGAAAACAGACCAAGAGTTCAGTTGTAATTTGCAGAAGTCACAAACTAGCAAATGGCGGAGCCTTGACTTGGATTTTGTTTGCAAATTCCCTGTCCTATTGATTTTACCAAGTAATGGTCACTGTAACATCTTCACTAATGATTTCATGATCAAGTACATCAAGTGTATTGATCAATTAAGAAAAAGGTTGTGGAAACTTGCAAATAATATATCCTTAATATCTTCCAACAGTTATTTTGATATGAGAAATCAAATTGATAACTGACACCAAAGAGCTTCCAGAAATCATAAAATGGGATAGTCTATTATAAACATCTATATTCATAAATATTATAAACTTGTAAATCCACCCAAGTTTGGTTTTTTTTTTTGAATCCTCACCCAAGGACAGGCTTATTGATTTTGAGAGAGAGAAAGGGAGAGAAACATCAATGTGAGAGAGAAACATCAATTGGTTTGCCTACTGGAGACCAAGGCTGCAACCTAGGTGTGTGCCCTGACTGGGAATAGAACCTGCAACCTTTCAGTTTACAGGACAATGCTCCAACCAACTGAGTCACACAGGCCAGGGCCACCCAGTTTTGATAATTTATTTTCTAATTGTGTATTACAACTAAGTCCCAAATCATTAACATCAGGAAAAATGCCCACTGTCTTAGATGGTTTTGCAGAGATTTTTATAAATCAATCATATAATCATAATGCTCACAGTGTGAGCCTAATAACAAAGAAATGCAAAAAGTAAAGCTCTAATGACACTTGCACCTTACTTTTGCATAGGATTTACACTGTCCGATTTGAAACTGTCAGCATTTTTAAATATTAAAATACATTTTCTAAAATAAAATAGTTTCTTTATTACTATAATACATTCAATGTCTCCTAGAACAATGTCAAAACAGATATGCAATAAATATTTGTTGTATGAGCAAATAAACGAATGGATGTATGGATGGGATTAGGAAGAGGACATATGTAAATTGGACAGGCAATAGAAATGCTGTGGGATTACTATTGTTGCCATTGTTTTAAAAAATTTAAAAAATTTTTTCAAGTAAGTTTACATTCAATATTTTTTGTTTTAGTTTCTGGTGTACAGCATACTGGACAATCATATACTTTACAAAGTGTTCCCCTCGATATTTTCATACCCTCCTAGCACCATACATAGTTATTATAATATTATTGACCATATTCCCTATGCTGTACTTTACATCCCCATGACTATTTTGTAACTACCAATTTGTACTTCTTAATCCCTTCACTTTTTTCACCCAGCCCCCAGCCCCTCTCCCATCAGGCTTTTAGTGTGTAAAGTAATCCCAGTTTTCTATGAAACACTTATATATCACTCCAGGGTAATCCACAAATTAGAAGACATTATGACATTCTGTACTAAAATTTAGTGCAAAGTGAGATGGAGGATTCATTTAAAAAATCTGAGTTTAAAATTTAAAAATCCTGAGTCATCTTGAACAATTCACACCTGTGGCACTCCGACTTTCCACTGTTGTTACTTGAGACACAAGGTATCTTTCCAGTGTTCACAAGGTTTGGGAGATTTCAGACTGTTTTATACACATTTCTATCTTTCCCAGCACCCATCACAGTGCCTGTCACACAGGAGATATTAAATAAAGGTTTACTGAATAAGTCCACTTAATTTATAGTATTAAAAAAACCCTCCAGCCCTGGCTGGCGTAGCTCAGTGGATTGAGCATGGGCTGCGAACCAAAGTGTCGCAGGTTCAATTCCCAGTAAGGCACATGCCTGGGTTGCAGGCCACGGCCCCCAGCAACCGCATATTGATGTTTCTCTCTCTCCCCCTCCCCTCTCTGAAAATAAATAAATAAAATCTTTAAAGAAAAAGAGGATAGTAATTAATATTAATTTTGTTAGGTGTGATTATGAGTATGTTAAAAATGCTCACAAACTACCAAGTTTACTATCGACAGTGTTAATTTGCCATAATTTATGATACCTTGTATCACTAATTAATTCAGCTTCCTCAACATTTGTTTTGAGTTATGACTTTTTTAATATATTTTATTGATTATGCTATTACAGTTGTCCCATTTCCCCCCTTCACTCCCCTCCACCCTGTACACCCTCTCCCACCCACATTCACCCCCCTTTAGTTCATGTCCATGTGTCATACTTATGAGTTCTTTAGCTTCTACATTTCCCGTACTATTCTTACCCTCCCCTTATCTATTTTCAACCTACATTCTATGCTACTTATTCTCTGTACCTTTTCCCTTTCTCTCCTCCTCCCACCCCCCTGTTGCTAACCCTCCATGTGACCTCCATTTCTGTGGTTCTGTTCCTGTTCTAGTTGTTTGCTTAGTTTCTTTTGGTTTTGCTTTAGGTGTGGTTGTTAATAATTGTGAGTTTGCTGTCCTTTTACTATACATGTTTTTTTCTTTATCTTCTTTTCTTAGATAAGTCCCTTTAGCATTTCATAAAATAAGGGCTTGGTGATGATGAACTCCTTTAACTTGACCTTATCTGAGAAGCACTTTATCTGCCCTTCCATTCTAAATGAGAGCTTTGCTGGATAGAGCAATTTGGGATGTAAGTCCTTGTCTTTCATGACTTGGAATATTTCTTTCCAGCCCCTTCTTGCCTGTAAGGTCTCTTTTGAGAAATCAGCTGATAGTCTGATGGGAACTCCTTTGTAGGTTACTGTCCCCTTATCTCTTGCTGCTTCTAGGATTCTCTCCTTCGTTTTTACCTTGGCTAATGTAATGATGATGTGCCTTGGTGTGTTTCTTCTTGGGTCCAACTTCTTTGGGGCTCTCTGAGCTTCTTGGATTTCTTGGAAGACTATTTCCTTTGCCATATTGGGGAAG